AGGAATGGGTCGGGATGGGAGATGTGTGCTGAAAGTAGATAATGGACCAAACATGATGACCTCTCAGTGTCTGTATTGCTAACCATAATGCCCAAAAGTAGAGAGAGAGTATGGAGAATATTGTCTGCCATGGAGGCAGGGGGAGGGTGGGAAAGGGGGGCGGGTATACCGGGGATATTGGTGGTGGGGAATGTGCACTGGTGGAGGAATGGGTGTTTGATCATTGTGTGATTGTAATCCAAACATGAAAGATTGTATCTATCTCATGCTGATTCAATAAATTAAAAAAAAGACCTAGAAGCCCATGTTCTAGATGACAGCTAATTGGGTTTCTAGAAAGAGTCTTTTCCTGGTTTGAAGAGCACAGCTTGTTTCTATTTTCTCAGAGTTTATAGAAAGAGCTGCTCTGAAACCTTGATTTCTTTCTAAAGATGCTAATCTCATGGGAAACCTCTTCTCAAGATCTCATCTAACCCAAACTACTTGTTATCTGCCTCACCTCCAAATGCTATCTCAGTGAGGCATAGAGATGCAACCTACTCATTTGAGAGGTCACAAATGTGTCCTAATCCTAATTTCCTAATCTTAAATTCCTAATCCCCTATATCTCAGAATATGGTGATGAAATAATATGAGTGCAGGATCATTAGTTAAGATGAGGTCATACCATAGACTAACGCATCCTAAATCAATAGAATTCATGTGCTATAAAAAAAAAAAGGTGGGGGCAATCTGGATACAGACTCAGACCCAGAGGAACATGCATACAGGCATGAAGGTAGAAGTATACAAGCCAAGAATAACCAGACACTGTCAGTAAATCACTGGGAACTATAACATAGAATGGAATAGATTTTCTTATTTTATGACCAGAAAGCATAAACTCTATTTCCACCTTTTTGGATTTCCAGCTGTTACTTTGCAGTAATAAGTGTCTGTCGTTTAATCTGCATGCTTTGTAATACACTGTTATGGAACCATAGTAAATTGATAAAGGACCCAAAGCCAAGCAATCTAATCAGTATGTGACAGGGTCCTGTTTTTAAAAGAGCCAGGAGTATATTCTAAAAAAGGAAAGAAATGTGACTATGTTTGAATTCTATTCTAAAATCAATTTACCCTTTCTCATCCTTTGACCTGAAGCCTCTCACTAGTCAGGAATACTATGAGATTCTATCCTATATGTTTCAAGGAAGGGGTTAGAGAAATACCCCCACATTCTTTGTAATTTCTCTAAAATTAGCCTCTGTTTATCCTTTATCTTTTGGGACAGGGATTCCATTTCAAAATGTCCATTTTCACTAATCTATGTTAAAACTGTTCAAAAAAGTAGTGTTGCTTCCTGTTTATAAACTCATTCTGCTTTGAATTATATGGGTAAATACAAAATATTGGAGACAATTTTTTTCCTCTTCCTTACTCTGTTTGACAGTAAATGCAAAATCACAAAGTTTTAGGAGAGGGCATTCTGTGGGCCCCTTATTACAGCTATTCATCTTTCTTTGGGGACAAAAGGGAGAGCTGACTCTATTGGATGAGTTGCTTCTCTGAAATCTTTCTCTGGTGACTCGTAATATAAAGCTGTTGAATTCAAGGAAGGCAGTTTTAACCACAGTATTTAATCTTATGGAGACATTTACTGCATAGCATTTTGTTTTGCCTTGTTTAATATAAACCACTGGAGAGAAGTTTCCTGGTTATGTCATTTTATAAAGGAGAGTGAGAAATAGAAAATCTCAGATAAGAAAAGGCCAATGCTATTTAAGAATTCTGTTATAGAATCTACATTATTTAAAGGATGCAGAGTCTTAAAATAATTACATTGAAAACATTGACATCAATAACAATGATTACAAGAATAGTAATAGCAATCACAATGGCTACCATTCATAGAGCAGGTACAGAGTAATGCCTTTAAAGTAAGACAGATATGGAGTCAAACAAGCCAGGCTTGCATTGTCTTTTGGATTCTTCCTAGGTAAATGTCCTTAAACAAGTGATTTTTATCCTAATAAGTCTCGAGTTTTTCATCTCTAACTTGAGATTTAACTCCTAGAACAAATAAAAGAATAATATATAAGGAAATGTATTGGTATTACTGACAATGGGAACATAATTAACCAAAAAGTAGAATAGGAGATTAGAGTCATGAGTAGACTGGGTTGCATGGGATACATCAAGTCTGGGAGAATAGTAGGAGCCCGGACTTAGAAGATTTTGAAACATGAACAAGTTCTATAGTTGATGGGAGTCCCTTTAAATCTTTGATTAATGTAGGGGACTTAGAATTATGCCTGGGGAAGACTAACCTAGCAGCAACGGTTCGTCAGTACTCCACTACCATGACCCTTAATATATCATCAAGTGTGCCTACACTGTAGTCCTCTGAAATGCAAACTCCAGAGATTTCTGACTGCACACGATTCAATAAACTAATAAATGCAGTCCAGCTATATGGTATAAAACAGGAGCTGAGGTTTCCAGGGCTGCTGCTGGTGAATGATAACACTATATGTAGACAGCTATAGGTGCCTTTATCCACATGGGCTGAAGACTTCTGGAATAAGGTGAAAAGTGTCTGGAAACTTAGGACTATATTTAGAAATTTAGCCCTATATTCGGGCAGAGCGACAGCACAGCAGGTAGGGTGTTTGCCTTGCACGTGTCCAACCCGGGTTCGATTCCTCCATCCTTCTCAGAGAGCCCAGCAAGCTAATGAGAGTATCCCGTTAGCAAGCTCCCCGTGGCATATTTGATATGCCAAAAACAGTAACAAGTCTCACAGTGGTGCCCGCTCAAAGCAAATCGATGAACAACGGGAGGACAGTGCTACAGGACAGGTCTGTATTCAAATCATGACCCTGTCAAATGCCTCTGTGGGGTAATGGGTAAATTTTCAACACTCCAAGCTTTGTTTTTCATATTGTCTGAGACATATATAACTATATTTACATAAAAGTAAGTAAAGTAAAGGCCCTCCCGTTGATCATAGATTTGCTCGAGCGGGCCCAGTAACGTCTCCATTGGAGACTTTGTTGTTACTGTGTTTGGCATATCAAATACATCACGGGGAGCTTGCCAGGCTCTGCCGTGTGGGCGAAATACTCTCGGTAGCTTGCCGGGCTCTCCGAGAGGGGCGGAGGAATCGAACTCGGGTTGGCCATGTTGGCTGCGTGCAAGGCAAACGCCCTACCGCTGTGCTATCGCTCCAGCCCATATATATAAGCTATATATGTGCATATAATTTTAAATTTATAAGGTTATCTGGTTCAAATTGAGTTGCATATAGATGGCACCCAAAATTTGTTTTAACTTGGGTCACCAGTAATTCTTATTTCTGTTCTATCTTGCAGATGAAGAAACTGAATTTCAAAAGAAAGAGAAAGAAAGAAAAGTTTTGAAAAGAAAAGGAAGAGAAAAGAAAAGAAGGGGAAGAGACGGAATCTATATTGCCAGAAGCTGAATTTAAAACTCCAGTAAGATTGCCAATTAGGCACCAAATCTCAGAAATGCTAAGCAAGCTTTAAGAAATGAACAGGAAACCCAGGGTGTCCCAGGAGGTGAGAGAGGTGGAAAGGTGCTCAGGGCTGCCAGAGAAAGGTGCAAAGGATTCAGACACGCAAATGCCTACTTTTCAATTGTTAGCAAGGGATTCAGGTATGCAAATAGTAATTCTTGTTAGCAGCCAAACCCTGGGCAACAGAGAAGGAAGCTAGCCCCAATTGAATGGAAACTTGGTTCCGCCTAGCAACAGGCTCCTGCGTCCTTAACGACCGGGAGGGAGTCGCCTCGGCCTGAGAGTTGAGAGTCAGGTCCCGTGATTGGCCCAGCATCTGGGCGCCAGTCCCCCGCCCACCCAGTTGTTGGTGCCAGGCCTGGTCTGTGGGTCGAGCTCCTGGGAGAAGCACGCACCACACCGCGTCCCCGAGAGTTGCCTGAGTGGGGGGACCCCGCCTCAGCGGTAAGGCAGCTCCCCTGGGGAAAAAGGCTCAGAATTTAGCGCAGCTGCAGAAAAGAGAGGGAACACTCACTCCCCAGCCCAACCCTCCACCTTCTACTCTCTACCTTTCTCCCTCCTCCTCTCTTCCCCTCCTCCCTCTCCGCCCCCACACACCACACACACACACACACACACACACACACACACACACACACACACACTCACAACTTCTAGTGTTTGGAAGTTCCAGACCACTCCATGAAGATTGCAGGACCAGCAGTACTGAGCTACCTCTTCAGAACAGCTTCTAGAACAATCTAATACTTAGCGAGGCCCGGTTTCTGGTCTTGCTGTTAGACCCATGAACTGGAAACAGTTTTGTTCTTATTGACTTTATGCCAAAAACAAATGCTCTCTGGGTTTTGATTACCTGGTATGCAAAACCAGCTTTGGAATCAGAATTATTTGCACAGACCTTTCCATTTTTGGAAGGTACTGAAAGGGGACTGCTCGGTCTTGGGCCGGTTTACCCCCCATCTCTTTTCCTTGGCATCAGATCTGTTTTAACACCCAGTGATTATCTAGTGCAGGGTTTTAATTTAAGAAGAGTTGCATAAACAGATCAGTGATGGAATAGTCCCCCTTTCCGTTGTAAAGAGCTCTTTCTGGATACATCATTTCACTGAATTCTCCCAATTTGTATCAAATACACAGAACTAGAATCACTGTGGTTTCATAAAAGCAGAGACTATATCGGTGAAATCTTGTTTTTTTCTCTCTTACTTCACGAGAATCCTATGTATAGTGTTAGAGCACATAAAGAGAGAATCACCACAAGTGATTCCTAGATCCTTTTTTGCAGATCTTCCAGGTAAGATTCCTGACTGTACTAATAACTAGTTACGTGATTCTGAGTAAGTTATGTAACTACAGTAGTCAATTGTAATAACCGTTAATAACAATAATTAGGGTTGTGATGCTTATGTCTTTATTAAGGATGTTAAATATAAAACAATTGGTCTTGTTTTTATTGTGGTTACTGTTATTGTTGACAGGGATTCTAAAGTTGCCTAGTGCAAAAACCAGGGGAAGAGACTTATTTTTCCAATCTTAAGAGTTTGAAGGGATTTTGAGAAGAATCATGTCTTCCACTTGGAAGCCTTCCCATGGATCAGATGCAATACCTGAAATCATGGTGAAAATTATTGGAAGTAAACACTTTCGATACCTTGTGGAAAAGCCAAACATGTAAGTTTACTATTTTAAAATTATCTAATTGGCTTGGATGATAATTGCAGTTTTGGTACTTTTAATCTAAGAATTTGCATTTTTGGTTGCTATTCCCTGAAATTTTAGTCATTAAGATGTACAGTAGCAATAGTGTTGAGTAGTTCTGTACATACTGTTTTTCTGGTATTCGTCATCTTAATGCTTTCCAATAGTCCTAATTGCTTGGACTGATATTCCAAATTGATGAGGAAAATATAAACATTGAAGCATTTATAATTATTAAAGGAGCATTTCTGCCTCTCCTCATCAAGTTTGTATCCCACCACATGTAGCAGTTATTTTTGCATGGGGGTTAAGAAATGGACAGAAAGGTTGCTAGACAATTTATTGTGAATTAAAAGAGTGAAACTGATAATGAGTCATAAATTTATTTTTTACTTTCTTATGTTGATAGTCTACCTACCTCTAAACTAAGACCTTGCAATATAACTAAGCTATCTTCTCTTCCAAGCTCATCAAATCCACAACTGAGGAATATATTCATATATTCTAAAATTCACTATAAAGAGCACAGAAGGGTATGATTTCTTCTTCTTTACAGAAAGTTGGTGATTCACAGAAGAAGAGTATGTACCAAACTCACTATTCATTTAGTAGACATTATGTAATTTTTAAAATTATTTTTCTCTAGTGCAGACACAAAAACTGTCTGGGGGCTGGAGAGATAGCACAGTGGGTAGGGCGTTTGCCTTGCATGCAGCTGACCGGGTTTGATTCCCAGCATCCCATATGGTCCCCCAATCACCACCAAGAGTAATTCCTGAGTGAAGAGCCAGGAGTAACCCCTGTGCATCGTCAGGTATGACCCAAAAAGAAAAAAAACTGTCTCAGTGTGCATAAGGTACAGAAAGTAGAGAATACCATACATTTTCTTGACACAATCACCTAGAGAGTCCTCAAAAATAAAAATTTAGGGTTCAATTTGAGACCCATTGAATCAGAATCTCTGAAAGTGTGACATCAGAACCACTACTGGTTTTATCTCCTCACTATCATTATTGTCATTTCAGAGAAATTCCAAAGTGCATTCCTTAATCAATTAGTAATTCTGCACAGCACAGGAAGTGAGCTTTGCAGTACATGGTGTATATCTGGAATTCCTATGGAAGTTGAGAGATGTGAGTTGAATCCTGGTTTTATACCTTTATGGACTGTTAACATTGGCAAGTAAATTAACATCTCTGACCTCTGATACTACACCTATCACAGGGATAGATGTGTAATTAATGAGAATCAGCAAAACAATGCTTACTAGTATGTTCAATATACCTAATAAGTGATTCTGCTTTTGGTACTAAAGATTATTTTGGTACTGAAGATTATAACTTTCTATGAAAAAATGATGTTTAATTAAAAAGATTAAATATATCTTTATAAAACACATGTTGGTCCTCTTCTATCCTCAGGTGATAATTTATCTCTGTGTTGTATATGAGGAAAAGAAAGCACTGTGATAAGATGTATTTTGTCTGCTTTCAAGTTACAGATATTTTCATGGAAAGTAAATAGGATCAGTTGGGTGTCCTTCATAATTCCTTTCCTCTCTCCCTGGGAAATAACATTACTTCTAAGGAATTTGATGCCATGCTGATGTTTAGTCCTTTTCATTTCAAACCCCTTCCCCACGTTTTTTCCCAGAGTAATCTGAATTTTGTCTGTTTGTGTGGTGGGGTGGCCTACTGGGCCGTACATACCTGGCTATGTTCAAGACTTACTCAAGGCAAGCACCTTACCTATTGTTCTATCTCCCTGGCCCATATAATTTGACATATCTCTTTAAAATTTGAGTACAAAATAGGTCTTATATATTTAAGTTTTAAAAGGCTTCTTTTGTTCTACAATAAGGTACCTTCTAAAAATATATATTCAGAATATGAGAGATAAAGAAATGAAAGAGTAGAAAGAAGGGTTCATTGACTGTGGTGAAGGGTTATTATTTGGTGGTGTACTTGATGTGGTAAAGTTGTGTACCTGATGTATGTCAATATTTACTCTCATTAACTTAGCTTACCCCCAATAAATTAATAATTAAAGCATGTACAGAGGTCAGAGCTATGGTACAGCAAATACAGTGCTTGCCTTACAGATTACTGACCTGGGTTTGATCTCTGCCATCCCATATATTTCACCCCATGACCTGAAAGAGTAATCCCTGAGTGTAAAACCAGTAGTAAACCCTAAGTACTCTTAGATGTGGTACAAAAAAAAAACAATATAAATAAAATAAAACATGTGCAAAAAATAAGCTACATTAATTTTGAAATACATGTGACACAATTACTCTTATTTCCTCTGACACTGAGCACTTATTTTCCTATTAAGACTGGTTGCTTCTTTTTGTTTCCAAAGGATTTGATGCTGCTATTGCTGCCATGATATAGGATAATATACTTTGTAGAACTAGTACTTTCTAATTCAATAATTAAAAATTCTTACAGGTTTTTTTTTGTGGGCCAGAGAGATAATACAGTGAGTAAAGAGTTTGTTTTGCACAGGGTCAACTCAAATTCAATCCCTGCCACCACACAAGGTCCCCCAGGACTTGCCAGAAGTTATCCCTAAACATAGAGCTGGGAGAAAACCCTGAATACATCCAGATATGCCCCCATGCCATAAAAAGTGGGTGGATACATGGTGAAGCTGAAACAATAACACAGAGATTAAGTCTCTTATCTTGCACATGACCAGTTTCAGTTCAATCCCAACACTGCATATGATCTCCCAAGCATCACCAGAAGTGTTTCATGAGCCCAGAGCTAGGAGTGAGCCCTGAGCACATCTGAATGTGCCCCCAAAACAAACTAAACAAAGCAGTTTTCTTGTGATGAGGATAGACCTGCCATTATCATTTGTGTCCTATATGTCCCAGTTTACCCCCAAGGCACTGTGGTCTATAATCTTCATTTAATTCCTTGAGCAAGGACCTGAAAAAGATGTATATTTTTTATGAATCTCTTGATCTCATTAGTAAAAACTCCATCTAGATGTGTAAAACCCTCCCTGCATTCCATTGAAACAAGCTGTCTCTAAAGGGGAATGAACTTAAAAGAAAAATAATAAATAATGGAAAGAGAAGTAGAAATCTTTTTCTATAATCACAATTAGTTCAGATTTCCTATAGAAAAGGTGGAGAAGTGATTAGAAAGGAATAGGTAAGCATACTCATTTTCTGGAGCTGCTAAATACAAGTAAAGCACCTCCCAATTAGTTGTCTCACTATCTGGGAGCAGAAGTGGAAATCATGGTATTATTGCAGTCATGCTCTGTTACAGTGCCCCAAAGTTGCAGTTCTCTCTCATTTCTTTTGGTTCCATGACTTGTGGTAACATGGCTGCATGCTTAACAAGATCCTTAACCTTGTTGGTGTCTGTCCAAATGTCTCTTTTACAAGGATACCCACTCAGTTGGATTTATGGTCCATCTCACTTTAGCATGTCCTTCTCTTAACTAATTGTAATAGTAATTCAATTTTCAATTAAGAGCACGGTCTGAATTTCTGAGGGGTTAGTACCTAAGCTTTATGGGAATGCCACACTAAAATGATGTAGTTGAGGCCATGGTAGACTTAAAGCAAACCCAGATATGAAAAACTTAGACAGATCAAGCTCCTTTCCACTTCCTTTATTTATCATGTGCAACTGTTGATGAATAAAAAGAAAATATTCAAGGTCTGTTTTTATTTCATTAAGGAAATCTATCTCCTTTTGAGAGTGATAGAAGTTTGTGTTATCATAATTTTGCCCCTAAACCCCATACCAGTCTTTCAACTCATCTTTCTGTCCCTAGTTCTCTGAGTCTATTCTTTAGTCCTTCCTCTCAAAGTGCAGTCTGTGAACCATCATCAAACTATCCTGGGAGCTATAGCACAAGGGATAGGCATTTGCCTTGCATGCGGCTGACCCAGGTTCGATTCCCAGCATCCCCTGAGCACCGCCTGGAGGAATTCCTTAGTGCAGAGCCAGGAGTAACCCCTGTGCATAGCCGGGTGTGACCCAAAAAGCAAAACAAACAAACAAACTGTCCTGGGAACTAGTTCGAAATGCAGAACTTCAGGCTCTACTTCAAACACGTTGAGTCAAATTCTACAATTTTAGTCAATTCTCAGCTGGTTTGTTTGTTTATTTATTTATTTATTTTTTGCACACTACAAATAAAGAGGCCCAATCCTGAAGTGCTGCCAAAATTATATTTATAAAATGCAAATCTAGGAGCTAGAGCAATAGTACAGCGGGTAAGGTATTTACCAAACATGTGGTTGATCTAGGTTCAGTTCCTGGCACCCCAGATGATCCCCCAACCCCATCAGAAGTGAATCCCTGAGTGCAGAGTCAGGAGTAAGCTCCGATCACTGGTAGGTGTACCACAAAAACAGAAACAAAAATGCAAATGTTATTAGGTGCATCAGTCCTGATTATCCTTCCCCTCTGATACCTACAGACACCTGTAGCAACCATAGCACTCTGAGGGATTATTACACTCTTTGATGATTCTTTATGCATTTCTGCCCTCCCATTACAACTATAAATTCTATGTGCATAACTGTACTCTCAGAAACAAACACAAAGACTCATATATGTTCATGTTCAAAGCCTGCTATGGATTCCTAATAGTAATTATTGATAGGTCATTGAGATGATGTGCCCACACATGCTGTCATTTATAAAAAGAGATAAAAGTGAGTAATAAACCTCTGAACTATAAGACTGAGGGAAATCATTGGCAAAATTACTGGCCACCTATTAAATTAATTATAGCACAGAACACAATAGCGATGGTCACTTGTAGTTGTTGTCAGTTGACTAAAAACAGATCACGTCAAACTGGTTTCATTCCTTTTATAAGTGAGATTGCCATAGTTCAAGATTATATAACATTATCTTAATTTCCTAGCATAACTAATTTGGAAACAAGAGAATTCTAAACTGAATAGCAATAGGGTAAGTGCCACACCAATAGGA